TTGTTTTATGTTAACAAATCTGAGGGTGTAATGTCACTTTAACTTTTTTTTCAGGTACAACATATTAGCATATTAATTAGTCTTCTCTAATAACATGGTGCAAAGAGCAATGGTTTGTAGAAAGCAATGGCAACCAGTCAAAAATACATTCTCAGGTACTTATATGCTGTAGAATAATGTCAGCTGACTTATTACTCGCTGCTATGGGTTAATGCAATCTAGCATTTTTTTGAAGGACCAGTTCACTCTATGCGTTGCTTTAATGCATGTGCCTAAATGCAGTGTGTTATCACGTGTTAAGTCATCTTCTTTCTTTCAAATGGGCTGGTAGCACATCTTTATGCATGTTATTAATGCGGCTTGGTCTTTTTTTTTTTGCTGTCACTTGTTTGTTTTTCTATGTGATGAGCAGTAGCGTGGGTATACTTGTTACAACTGTAGATGTAGATGTGCATTGGAGTGGATTTGAAATTGTTGGCACCACAACACCATGAGCCACATATGGTATATGCAGAACAAGTAGCAATGTCAAGCCACTTCTGCCCTTGGGGGGGGGGGGAGGGGATGTTTTGGTGGCACTGGGAGAAAACCTACCCAGTACAGGGGGATACACATAAGTGGTCACTGTCTGAACTTTGCATTACATACTACTGAACCATTCACTCTGCTGTACGTCTCCTGACCTCTGCACTCTGTGTTACATACTACTGACCTCTGAACTTTGCTATACCTACTCCTGACACATGCACTGTGTGTTACATACTATTGACCTCTTCACTCTACATTACTTGCTCCTGACCCTTTAACTCTGCATTACATACTAATTCCATCTGCACTTTGAGTTACATGCTACTGACCTCTGAATTCTGCATTACATACTTCTGATCCCTGCACTTACATAATACTGACCTCTGAACTCTGTATTACTTACTACTGAGCCTCACACTGTCCTAACCAGAACAAATTGATCATGTCATGTAATTGATTCCTAACCACATGTAATCATATCACATACCATTACATGTGGTGTGCCGATGTGTACATGCAGCGGCTGTCACCCAATCATTAACTTGAACGCTTGTACTATTTTTTGTTTTCGCACTGGACCGGAACGTGGGCATTGCTGTACCACATGTTCTGGTGCGGGCATTCGCACTGCGGGCAGGTGTGTGTGGCTGCAGTGCCATTGACTTGAATGTCCCATCCCGCCCCAGAACACAGGGAGCCTTCACAGTATACAATCTAGTGCGTTCCAGCCCAGTTAGCTGCTAGAATGCACTGGAAGTGGTGTGAACGGGCCCTAAAAGAGATGACAGATCCACTCTACAGTAAATAAAGAGTAACCATTAAAGAAACTATTTGCAGCTTTATATACCTTGTTACAGCTCTCTTTACAAAAGATATTTTCTATTTTTTCTTAGAAATGTTTCTATACAAAAACACAAAGACATAAAATAAAAACTTGGCTAGAGATGTAGAACATTTTTAAACTGGTTAATTTTGTAAAGATGACACAGGTTTAAACGCCTGCTGCGAGCTTTGTTAAAGGACTAAGTAACAAAGAGTGGTAATATTATACAGCATTGGTGGCATTCATGGCAAACATTCACTAGCACTCTTTTCAGACATCCTAATAAATAGATGCCCGAGGAAATGACATGAACTCTCTAGAAAGCTTCCATCTGATTGTACCATATGGCCAACAGAGGTATCATCTTCACTCGCTCCTTTGATTGTTTTCCCCTTACAAATTGCATTTTGTGTTGGTGAACAAGGTTCTGCGTTCTTTGCCGAAACACGATCTGGCTATGATTTCAATATGAAACCGTAACATCTTAGCATTTCACAGACTTGATGCAAAGAACTGACTTTGCTAAATGGTTTGAGGGTATGGCTGAAACACTAGGGAGATGAAGTATTAGCAAGCTGTTTTATCTCTACCTGAACATTATAATTCCCCATTATTTATCACCCTGTTTTACAAATTACTGCAAGGATGATATCTGATGACATTCAGTAATCCTGAATAATCCACTAAAATGTACTGCACAATAGGTAATTTTCCTTTCTTACTTCTCGCATCACCACCTATGACAGGCATAAGTGGGCTGATTCATCGAAACTCCACCTGTTATAGGCACATAGGGGCTTATTCATTAACTGTAGAGAAAAATACATTTCACCAAATGTGAGTTGCTGCCCATAGCAAGAAATCAAGATTATTAAAGATTAGATAAATCTGATTGGTTGCCTCAAGCAATGCATCCAGTTTTGTTTTACTTAGGGGTCTATTCACTAAGCTGCTGAGGGCAGCCGAGTGAACAACCGACCCCAAGTGAAGTGAGCTGAACACTGTTCGGCTATTCACTTCAGGCTGGTACGGCTGATTTCAGCCGTACATCGGCTTGCTTCACATGGCTTCGGGTCGGCCGAACATGCTCAGCATGTTCGGCCGACCCGAAGTGCAGAAGGAGTTCGACTCAGCCGATCCAACAGCTGGATCGGCTGAGCCGAACCTCCAGCAGGCTACTCACGGCTGTTCAGCCTATTCTTATAGATGCCGAACAGCAGTGAGAGAATAGCCAAATGCCGCTGAGCGGCATTTGGCTCGGCTGTTCTGCTCGGTCCCTCAGAGGGACCGAGCGGAACAGAAAAATAGTTTTAAAAGTTTTAAAAAAGTAAATAGAAAACAATTGTGCGGAGCTAGCAGTGACAGCTAGCTCCGCCCAATATTTTTCTGTTGTCCGGCGGCACTGCTGTCTAAAAAAAAAACGAAAAAAACAAAACTCTCCCGGGCGCCCAGGAGAGAAACACTGCTTTTTCTTTTCTTTATTCTGACACGGAGCAATGTCAGAATAGAAAAAAAAATTCCCATTGGAATGCATTGCTACATTACTTTCGGCTATTTCAATTTGCAATAGCCAATAGTAAATTCGCATTGTACCCGCCCTCTGCTGATGTACCTGATGGAGAACTGCAGCAGAGGGTGGGTACAATGCTAGTTTACTATTGGCTATTGCAAATTGAAATAGCCAATAGGAATGTAGCAATGCATTTTAACTGGAATTTTTTTTTATATTCTGACATCGCTCCGTGTCAGAATAAAAAAAAAAAAAAGAAACAGCAGTGTTTCTCTCCTTGGCGGCCTCAGTGTCCCTGGTTAGCAGGTAACCAGGGACGCTGATCTCTCTGCAAGTGGCCTTGCAGCAAGTGGCTGTCAGAAGCAGGCTGTCGGCCAGCCAATGGCCGGCCGCTCGGCCAGCTTTGGCTTTCAGCACGGCTCAGCCGAGCCGATGCATATGCCTTCGGCTCGACTGAGCCGCTTGTCCACGTTCGGGAGCTGTACGGGCTATTGTGAATAGCCCATACAGCAGCCCTTCAGTTCTGCTGAACCGAAGGGGTCCTGGGGCCGAAGCTAGCTGAAGGATGGGCCGAAGCTACGGCTAGATCCTTCGGCAGCTTCGTGAATAGACCCCTTATTTTCCTTCAATTATGATGAATCAGCGGCATTAACCTTTTTTTTATTGAGGTACAGTGTAAGTTTTACATTAATTTGTACTTGTCACAACTAGTGACGTGATGATGTGACAATGAGCAATGAATCACAACCAGTGATGACTGACAATCTGATGGGGTTTCTTTATCCTTGAATATTGTTTCAGTAAAAATGCTCAGACCTCCAAAATAAATGTTTAATTTTCTTGGTACATGCAGGAAAGTTAGACCATCTTTGGTATTTTTATGTCTTTTAGTGACTCTGGTGGTGAGCTCTCTACACACCTGCTGCAGTAGTTACGAGGGGATTCACCTTTCGGCCTGGATAAAACGTAATTTTATGATTGTTTAAAAATTGAGTATCTGCCTCTACTCATCATACCCATTCATTAAGTCTTGCACTTTAGGCCCCTTTCACGCAGGCTGATCAGGAGGGGACCCGTGCACAGATCCCCTCCTGATCACAGCAGTACGGATCGGATGTCATAGTTGTGACATCTGTGTCCATCCAGTTTTTTCCTCCATCTTGTGATGGAGGAAACAACTGACATAGGGCATCCAATCGGGTCTGCCTGAAAACTGACAGGTGAACCCAATCAGACCACCCATCTAAAAGGGGCCTTATATTAATCTAGCCTGCACAATGGCCAAACAATATTTACATCTGTTGGGCTGCAGAGTTTTGCGTATAGTTGTGCATCTACACTGCATGGTCTTAAAGAATTAGGGCAGACCTGTACCTAGCTTGGCACATGCACTATGGTCATAATGGATGTGTGTTTAGGTTTACCAAAAATGCCAGATGTCAGTTCTGCAGATATAAAAATACCTGGGCTACTGGACAGGCTTGAAGTAGGTTGATGCAGCTTAGAAAGAAGTTAACTGCAGGTTAAATGCACCTATAAAGGAACTTTAGCTATAATGTCCCTAATAAAGCTGGCATGGTGGCCTAGCGACTAGCTTTCACAGAATGCAATAAATGGGCAGCAGTTCTGTTTTGTACATGAGGGTGCTCAGGAGTGTGCTACTTGCTGGGGAAGTAAGGAATGAGGTAAGATTTCTTACCATGGTATGGGGCTACTAAAGAGGTTTTACTAATACTTAACCCTGTCCCCCTGAACTATGAGTCTGATGTTTGCCTACTTTGGCAGATACTTTGTCACTGATTAAAGTCAGTCTTCATGCCAGCTCATAATAGCATCAACTGAAATTATTTGTGCCCCCAGAACTGCCATCATAAATCAGAAACTCACACAGCAACAAGTACACAATAAAACTTCTCTTAGCCCATTGTCAGTAGTCGGTGTATATCTTTATGATACTTTCACAATGTCTGCACTGTCCTGGCAGATTTGCAGAAAGAAAGGCTTCACTCTGAGATAGAATCATTACACTGATATGTCGATACCCAGGAGTCAATTTTCTGATCTGATTAATCATATTCACACCTATTGTACATGACTGTCACCCAGTGCTCCTAATGTTTGTTTTTTGTTTTTTTACAGGTGGGAGACCAAAGACAAAGGGAGTCTAACTGAAGAGGAAAAGGATGTATTGAAAGATTTAAAAGCTTTGATTTCAAATAGGAAACAGACTTCCTCACAGTGATTGTATTGTCTGTCTACAAAACTCACTTGTTTACCATAAGGCATCATCTATATTATCAAAGCAGAGCTTCCTCACGGTGATCATATTGTCTGTCTACAAACTCACTTGTTTACAATAAAGCTCCATCTATATTATCAAAGCAGAGCTTCCTCAAACTGAAGATGGCTTACAAATAAAAATAAATCTACCTGTAAAGCAGGAAGACTGCGGCCAGATTTACCACAGATATCACTGGGGTCAGAAATCATACCAACACATTTATCCACACAATTATTTGACATGATCTTTCCAACAAATTATACCGAGGTATGGTCAGATTTACTATACGGTCCAGAAGACCTGTGCCTATAGGTGGCAAAGAAAACTTTGGTTTGGATACCAAATACTGTGCACCTATAGGCTTTAGCGATGGAAATCTGACTCTTAAACATATGTTACAATATACAAAATGTTTACCATTCAGAACACCATTTACACCTGATTCAGGAATTTATTTAAAACGGGATGGGGCTAATAACAGCCTAAAGGAGTCACATTTCCTGATAAAACAATCTTTGAAGAAGGTATCAGTTTCAGTTTTTCAGTTTTGTTACCCCAATATCATCTTGCTGTTGGTGGTAATCAAAAGATCATGTCATCTGCTATGTAGTGCTGAAATAGTGAAATAAGGTGGTAAACTGAATATTGCCTTATCCTGTATGTAAAAACAAAAAAAAACAAAAAACTGTGTTACATTTTATAAAAAGGTAATTACTAACTTGGCTTTTTATTTCCCTTGTATTGCATTTAAAAAAACAAAAAACATCTGATATTTGTGTCAAAAATGAACAAGATAACACAATAATGAATATTGAAAGTGCACATACAGACCCAGAATGCTTAGCTAAAGGTACCAATAGACATGAGTCTGTGTCTCAGATTCAGTAGCCAGTGTATGTGTACAGTTAAACCCCAGTTTAATGGCCTAGTCTCCACAATATTATCATTAACCCCAAAAAAACAGCCTCTAGAGCATGTGTGTTTACCCATTAGTGACTAGTCTCTCTTTGACTAATTTCCAACTATGACAAGACACAAAACAAACAGGGGGCGGCTTCCCTAGTGCAGATATTTTTATTGAGCGAATATAATAGCAAGAATTATACTCACAAAAAAGCAATGACAATAAGTCTTCAATAACCAGAAGACAGTCCTTGGTCCAGAAATAATTTGGCATTTTGCCAAAAGTGCCATTTTCGGCCAATATATTTTGGTGGCTGAAATTTCAGTGCACCCCTACTTCAAAGTGAAAATTGAATTCTTCTTAATTGAACATGGGTCACATGCATCATCAAAGCCAACATCTTGGGGCCGCACAGGGTCCTTTCATCAGGGTGGCATAGTGACATTTGTAGAATATGAGATGCAGACTTATGTAGTGAAGTATACACTAGAGAGACCAGGTACCACTATGACGTCATGTCCCGCCATAATTCAAACAAAAAATACTGTGCAATAATGTGTGCATTACAGAACAAAAAAACAACACTCACCCATATGTGCTAAAAAATAAAAGTGCTTGTTGCTGCTCTGCTGTTCTATTGGGCAGAGTAATCTCCTGCGTGACATGAGCAATCCAGCTCCAGCAGAGGGAGGCAGCAGTATGGGACACGGAGTGTGGATGGGTGAGTAATGATTACCACCAGTCGCATAGAGATCTTTGATACAGCACGGAAAAGAGGTCACACACTCTTCCCACACACATGAGTCACCCAGCTATTACACAGCGGTCGCTTGTAAGGGTCCCTATAGGAAACAACCTCCTTTACGTTATCAACTGGTGGATTCCCTGTCAAAGTGCACTTCACCAGATCAGTTAATGCTTCTTGGGCTTTTCAGCATGAGGTATCTGTTTCTCACATTTGCAAGGTTGTCACCTAACCTTTTTTTCATACTTTAATTATCTTTTACTAGATGGACTTTCAGTCCTCAGCTGATGCCGGCTTCAGTCGTAAGGTTCTTCAGGAGGCTCTGTAGGCGTTATTGAACCACCTCTGTAACCCAATTGATTTTTTGTGGGACTGTTTTTCTCCTTATAGCCATCAATGCCAGGCATTTGTTTTCTCCTGCTGACCACCGACACCAGCCATTTTCCCCTCCCGCTGACCCCAGGCGCTGGCTATCATTTCCTCCTGCTGACAAGGGGCACATACTGCTGATCACTGCACTCTATATGTTGTGTTGTACATAAGGTGCTTAACACTGTACTTTACATACTCCTGACCAAAGTGTTTATTGTATAAACAGTTGCTGGTTGCTAAGTAGTTTCCAGCTGTTTTAATGAACTTACTATTTAAGGTAGGCTCAGACAAAGTGTTAGCTCTTTGTCCATATTCTATATTATTATATAAAGATGATCCTATAGATTTGTTTCTGTGAAACTCTCCCTTGTGATTGTGGGACAGTATTTTGAGGGTACAAGGACTGTGACACATATGTGCAGTGTGTACTGCAAGTAGGCTTAGACTATATTTAACCATGTTCATTTGGGCCACATCCCATACCCAGCACAATTTAGCCACCCAATTGTCTTTATTTGGGTCCTCAGATTAAGAACCCATGTTATAGAACATGTTTTTCCAAACTGCATTGTCATTGTGTTTAATTGTTCTGTAGGCACTGCTGTTTAAAAGTACTTTTGCCACATCATGTAGTAATATATGCTCAACAATTGATCAGCTAAAAACGGATATTTCCATGATAAAGGTATCTCATGACTGACTTAAAAATTAGAAGGAAAAGGGGATTTGCTGCCCATCACAGCTAATTAGTGTGTTTTTTTTCTTTCTGTGCTTAGTGAAGACAAAACTACAACAGAAACTCATACAGTTGCTCTGGGCAGCAACCCTATTTCGCCTAGCTTGATAAACCCCTTCATTTGCCTATACATGGCAATTTGTAAGATAATTTTTTTACAGGTAAATTTTATTGACCTTTCTCATTAGCATATTGCAGCTGCAAATTTAGAATCACTGAGCCAAAAATGTCAACAAAAATATGAAACAACAAGGGAGAAATTTAGAAGTAAAGTATCTTGCTTGTAGGTAATGTTACTGAAACATTCAGCACCTATTCTGCCAAATTATAGGAAAATGAAGTGCAACTAAGCATATAATTTAGATTACTAAGTGGCAAACCATTGATTTATTACTGCATAGCGAGTGTCATTTTAAAGTGATATTGAAATTTGTTTTCTGCCTCTCACTCTGCAGTGTATAATATTGTCAGACACTGCGTAAAACATTGCTGTTTTCGCTCCACAGCATATTTTTATGTTGTTTAAAGTGCACTTTATTATAGAAACTGCTTAAATGTGTTATTCTACAATATATATTCACGTGCTCTCTTGAACGGGTGCAGTTTAAATTTCATTCATTTATTGCAGTAATGCATAAAACAGCAGATCTGGAATGTGCACAGTAATGTTTTTCAGTTTTACATTGGCATATTGAGAAATATGAACTAAGAGGAGTGAATCACATTTATAACTTTTTTTTCAGCATATTTGCACCAGTATCTTCTTTAAACACACATTAGGAAGTATTTTAAGGGAAAATACAGAATAGTTTCTATGTATATATACACACACTGAGTGGCCAGATTATTATGACCACCCCATCAGTACTTCCGTGACTCCACGAGATGTTGAAAGGTGATGCGAGGAATCTGACACTGCACTGTTGCCCTTCTGTTGTCTTGCACCAGTCTTGCCACTCTCGGTTCTGCCCTAACATTGACTAGTCGCTGACGGCCACAATTCGCACGTTCAGACCCAGATTTTCGGATGACAGTCCAGTCTTTAAACACTTTCACAACAGCTGCTCTTGAACATTTAACGAATTCTGCTGTTTTGCTGATACTCGCGCCAACAATCATCCCACGTTCAAAGGCTGTTAAATCGCGTTGTTTACCCATATCTTCAGAAAAAAATCACTTCTACTGTCGTGGTAAACAACCTGCTTCCCTATTTATAATGGTCTGGCCCTCTAGCAACGTAAGCGCAGTAGGAGGAAGATCCATGGGGAAGTTGGTTCTGAATGTGGTACAAATAATTTATTATCTCAGAATTACCCTCCCTGTTTGTGTGATCGCTATATCCCATTGTATGCTGCCATGTACGGTGTCAGGAAAATGGAAAATTGTATACTTACCTACCTATCTGTAATATTCCTTTCCTGATGCCAGTACATGGCAGCATACAGGACCCTCCCATGGCTTTTGCATTGAGAATGGTGGCCTTGGGAGGCGGGCTTTAATTTATAGTATAACTGGTCCTGTGATTGGGCTGGGGGCGGAGCCATACCCATTGTATGCTGCCATGTACTGGCATCAGGAAAGGAAAATTACCGATAGGTAAGTATACAATTTTCCGTTATATATATATACACACAGTTGTGCTCATAAGTTTACATATCCTGGCAGAATTTATGATTTCCTGGCCATTTTTAAGATGAATGATAACACAAAAACCTTTCTGTCACTCATGGGTAGTGTTTGGCTGGAACCATTTATTATCAATCAACTGTTTTTACTCTTTTCCAATCATAATGACAACAAAAACTACCCAAATGACCCTGATCAAAAGTATACATACCCTGGTGATTTTGGCCTGATATCATGCACACAGGTTGACAGGTTGTGAATGGCTATTAAAGGGAACCATCCCCACCTGTGATCTGTTTGCATGTAATCAGTGTGTGTGTATAAAAGGCCAATGAGTTTCTGGCCTCCTGACAGACCCTTGCATCCTTCATCCAGTGCTGCACTGACGTGTCTGGATTCTGAGTCATGGGGAAAGCAAAAGAATTGTCAAAGGACCTGCGGGAAAAGGTAGTTGAACTGTATAGAACAGGAAAGGGATATAAAAAGATATCCAAGGAATTGAGAATGCCAATCAGCAGTGTTCAAACTCTAATCAAGAAGTGGAACATGAGGGGTTCTGTTGAAACCAAACCACGGTC